ATATGTACTTCACATTATACTATAATAAAGAAGCTTCTGCTAATACATATGAAAAATTGAACATATACTGGAAAGGAATTGACTGAGGTTCATATAAGTGGTAAATTTCCTAAAAATGGTAACAATTTCATCAAAAAACGTTATGATTGATTGACTATTAATTAATTTCAGAAAGGGTATTCTGGAAATTATAGTAATTTCAATGGTTGAGATCATGAATCAGTTGAAGCTAGACCACTATGGAAAACCTGAAGACACTGGACGGCCGTTTCGTCATATTGTTGGACTCTGTTAGCAGTGAGCATCCATGATCCCGCCTCGCGAGATTCAATCCCAGGACCTATCGGTCGCACACGCGCGCACCTAACCACTCGACCACGGAGCCGGCATCCAACGGTGTTAATATCTAACTTCAAATAATCCACGAAATTGAGCAACACATCTACCATTGTCATCAGTGAGTTACTATCTCACAACAGACCCGGTTGAACTCCACTGGTCACTGCTTGGTCGTGTATACACACTGCTGAGGGTCCCACAATAGGACGAAACAGTCGTCCAGTACTTCCAGGTTTTCCATGGCGATCTAGCTTCAACTGAATTATGATCTCAACGATTGAAATTATTAATTAATTATATATTCATCTTATCATAACCTCAGACCAATCATCTCATAATATTAATCCTTTATAACAACAGGTTATGACATTAACTATTGAGTAATATTATGAGTCAATTAGCCTAAATACAGCCTACATATTAATAGGGCGTAATACTTCTTTTTAAATTTCACTTATTTTCAAAACTATATAAATGACTATAACTATTTAGTCTTAAAGTTTAGGGTTACTATAGTTAACAATTCTATACTCATTTCAAAAAGAGTATACTTATTTTTATTTATTTAATCTTCGTCTTCTTATTACATTATTGAAATAGTGTTACGTTATGACATTTGTAATGAGACATGTTTACCAATCAGTTATCAACTGAATATACTTTAAGTTTCCAAGTCTATTTATTATTCGATATAGATATTCGATTAGTGAGATATAAGAGCTAATGAGATTAATATAGAATACTCATATAATAAAGAATTGCTAGATGAATATGTTTAAACAATGAAGTGTTTAAAGTATCTATATTGCACTTACTAAATAGAAGGTATTTGAAGATTGGTTTGGATGGTGGTTGGAGGTAGTCAACAGGAAACCCTGGACCCCAGTTTCGTGCTACTTGACACTCGTCAGAAAGGTGTTCCTGTAATCTTCAGGGAACTGATGCTCCCTAACAAATTAGATCCTGTGTCACCCAGCTTCACATTCAGAGAAGTTATCACTGAGCGATCCGGGCCGCGACCGACATCCTGTAGGACTGAGATGTAATGACAATTGATTGATCACTGGGTGGTGATCAATGTCATGTGTGTCAGTTCCCTCAAAATTACAGGTACACCTTGCTGACGAGTGTCAAGTAGCACGAAACTCGGGTCGAGGGTTTCCTATCGACTACCTCCAACTACCATCTAATCTCAACATAGTGCACGCAGTGTCGAGTCACCTAGACTGGTGGCCACATTGCAACTTGGTCAATAGCATTCGATCTGCATTAATAAGGATTAGACACACATGACATTGATCACCACCCAGTGACCAATCAATTGTGAAGATTGTTTTACAATGAATGTCACGTATGTAAAAAAAATTTGGGGTGAATAAGGATATTGAGTCACTTTTCTTACTCAAGGAGTTACATGAGACATGAAGTAAGGAAGTTTTGTTTATTGGATTGTTCAAGTAATTAACTACCCATTCTAAACAACAGTGTACCTTCACATGCGAAAATGAATGGGTTAAGGTAAGACTGGAAAACATTAAGGATGTTTAAAATAAGGCATGGGATTAATCCACAATTTCACCAAGTAATCAGATTTCTATGGGAGAGCATAGGCCCTCAGCCTGATGCTAGTAGTCAGTGAAGGGAGGCTTTTGATGTAATAGTTCAGAACTGCTCTTGATATTAATGTACTATCCACTCACTTCCGTCTTTTATGTCATTTTTTTCAGTTATATGCTTCTTATTTGTTCCAATATTATCTCATTTCTATGCAACTGGAATGTTTGGTATATATGTCGAAAAATCTTGCTATTCAAGTGACTGACCGAAGGTGGTTTTTTCATCGTAATATATGTTTTATTATAGGATCGAAAAGAAATTCTGTAATGCAAATATGACAATTAATCTTTATTCAGTGTTTGAGTTGTTTTGTTTTATGAGTTACGGTAGACATACTTTACACAAAAAATGTACCAGAAAACAATAAAACACTCAAGCTATTTAAACAAGTTTTCATTAGTCTTTATCTTGACTCGTCATATTACAATAATCTTGTATAATAAATAGATGTTAGTCTAAAGAAATAAATCAGAGATTCATAAAGTTCATTTCTGATTTATATATATCAAGGTTTAAGTCGCTAGCTGATAAAGTTTGTTTTCAGAAAACAATTCATTAGTGCATCGAAGTACACACGAGATTCAATCTTCCAGGGATTAACAACCCTCGAGATTACTGGTACATTTACTGACGAGTTCCAACTAACACAACAAATATGTCCAAAGTTTCTTGTTGACTACCTGCAAACACCTTATATCACAGTATAGTGCATGCAATGTCGTATCGATGGGATTTGATCAGTACTAAAAGGAACTAACCAAACATAGCATCGATCGCCATTCAGTGATCAATCAATTGTAAACATATAAATCGAAGTACTACACAGCATTTTGACATTAGAAAAAAACCTCTTACTTAACATAGATTATGAAAAATAACAACAACAACCTTATCACCCCAGAAAACCGGAACACTAGTAATATTTTGAAATTCCCCTACAAAATCATCAGTAAATTAGTTTTGTAATGTTTTCGTCTATTACTGTTTAAAGTATATACTATATGTTGCATGCTCGTAAAATGTGAATAATCAATTACTCATTTAAGATTCAGGTTAATAAAGAAGTAACTATGAACATTAAGATAACAAAAACTTATGGAGATATCTAGTTGCTAAGATAAAGACTTGGTATATAAAAACATTGTCAGTTCGATTACAACTATTTTTAAAACATGATATTCCGTTTGTATATAACCCCAAGAATAGAATAGTAATATCTAATGAAATACAATGAATTCATAATCAACTTACTTGATATAATAACATAAGTATTTTAATGTAGCTGAAAATAATCTTTTCACTCGTATCTATCTATCTATCTATCTATCTATCTCTTAGATTACATTGATCTATACAAGTTATATTTGTTTGTTAAAATGTATACATATACAATGATGTTTATTTATATGTAATTATTATTAATTATAGTCAATCATCTCTTTCAGTAAACTAATAGGCATGGTATTAAACTATACATTAACAATAGAGACAATCATTAACTATTCCACTTAAGATTTACTTAATATACATTTTATATTACTAACTTTCTAATTTAAGCAATTAACATTGCAACAATGAAATCCAAACTGAAAATAAATAGAATGCGAATAAATTATAGATTGTTTGTGAATTTTATTAAACAAAGTATGTTTCACATTTGAAGCCTATCAATGTTACTGTGAGTATGATTGTTTTGTTTTTGCTGTTTTTTAGTTGCTTTGTCAAAATTTGTCTCCTATGTATATGCTGCTCGGTGAAGGGGAAGTTAAGAAAAGACATGGGAGGTGGATAGGAAATACATTACAGAAATCATCAAACTGTATCACGAGGCTAGCACTAATTAGGAATCTTGAAGGAAAAACCAAAAAACACATTGAGTTCAGAATTGGGGGCAGATATGAAGAGGATGAGTAGAAACAGGGAAGGATCACCCAAGAGAAAGAGTTGGATAGAGAATGCTGCTGAGCAGCCTATGCATATATAAGAATGAAATCCTGTCAAATCGTGGTACTGTTTGTCACAATAAACAATATATTTACTGTATAAATTTCAATAACTCAATATAATTAATTGTTATCAACAATACATAAATGCTATAATAATTTCCATACACTTACAAATGTAATTCTCCTTTGTAATCATAGCTAACAATTTATGAATCAATTCAAAATATTAAAAAAACAAACCATGATACACTTAATTTATCCACTTTAAAATACAATTACAAAGGAAGGCTTAAGACAAAGTGATTTTAATTATTGCCCTGAAGAAGTTCAGACAAGTTAACTGGACGAAATGTTGGAATGATTTTAAATTTCAATTACTGAGATTATTTCAAATATAATTTTCACAGATAATAACTTCATTATACTTGGTGTTCAATTTCTATCAAACTATTTATTCTAATCTTGACAAAGTAGTTTAGAAGTTTCTACTTAGCATCCTATACTCCATAAAAGGGAACAGAATTAAATAAGTAAATGTAATATATACAGATATAATTGATATTATAAATAAAAGAGATAACAGATGTAATGATCACTTCTATTCTATATCATCCTAACTTCATTCTTCTTCTTCCCCCCCCTCCCAACACTGTATGTAGGTGTACTATGATAAAGTATCATATAAGTTATTGGATTAAATTTAGTTTAATGATCAAATTATTTGAAATATTCTCATATTGTAAATTTAGAATAACATATATAAACAAACAATATTGTTCTCGATTAGATCCTCATCCGAATTCACTCTAATTCACAATAATATATGATATACACATATATACGAAATTATTAAACTAATCAATATAGTTTATGATTCAATGATAAAACGTGATAAGGATTTAATCAAGATCAAATTATGATTTAATGATTATCAATAATAATCAATATATAATTCAAATGGTTCATTTACACAATACTAATAATTCATATATGAATACAATATTACAATAGAAACAAGTATCTATGTATATTTTTTAATGAAAACTTTATTAAATATGAATATGATACAAGAAAAATCTATTTCATAAAGTTACTTACCGTTCAAGTAAAATAATCAATCTATTATTGTTTTTTTTTTATCCGTTTATTTAGAGAGACTCATATTTTTGTTGTCGTTGTTGTTGTTGCTGTTGATGTATAGGAATAAGAGATTTTTATACGAATAGTACGAATAGTATACTTCCACTGATTGATCAATATCCTCAACTATGTTGTAATGCTTGTGTGTGTGTGTGTATGAGAGAGAGAGAGAGAAAGAAAGAGAACAAGAAAATAATTGTAAAAAGTAACACGAACAGTAGTACTTGTAGTAGTAGTAGTAGTAGTAGTAGTAATAGTAGTAATAATAGTCAATAGTAGTTGTTTTAATTTAATATTGGTTTATTGTGATTAGATAATTAGGCGTTGTATATGAAATTGGTATAATACGGAACAAAGAATTTAGTTTGATAGACATTTCCATTAATAGAAATAAAAGAACGGGTTGGTCAAGACAAATTATTATCTATAATATGAATTAAACAAACTTTTGCATATATATATACATATACATAGATATGTACCCATATATATGTATATGATGTTCACATGTAGTTGTTACTTTTACACTATAGTAAAAAGTCAGATTGACTGCCTGTCTACACTACAATAAATATACAGTAAATAAAAGTTTTACAATAATAAAAACTTCGTCCCATAATTTATTTTATATTATTGATGAAAAATTCGTATAATTCTGGTAAGACAGACATCTAAATTAAGCAAGCAAACAAATAAGTTTATATTGCCTGCTTGATTTAGACCGATATATATATATATATATATATATATATATATATATATAGAGAGAGAGAGAGAGAGAGAGAGATGTATAGAATATAAAGAGACTTACAAGGTCTTTTTCAATTAATCGACATATTTATTTTAATCAGCCTGATGTTTTAAAGATAGGTAGGTAGGTAGGTAGGTAAATAGATATAGGTTAGAAAAATGGAATAAAATATTAAAAACAAGGGGCAATAAATATGATGGATTAAACTTTATAACCTTGAAATAAAGAGTGAGGGTATTTGTTTTAATTCTTTAATATTAACCAATAGATTGATTCGATTATGATAAATTGTTTACAAGTCCAATAGAAAAAAAAATATATAGAAAAAAATAAAACAAAAAAACAAAAAAAAACACAACAACAACAACGACAAAAACAACAATAACAACAACAGTAATCTTTTTCTTAACACATTGTTCGGACCTAGAACTATTGACTAAATTGTCAATATAATTCTTATATATGAATGAGTAAGAAAAAATTATGGTTAACGTAATTTCCTACTTTAGATTTTTTTTTCTTTAAAAAAAAATAGTTTTTTTTTGTTGTTATTGTTGTGAATCAGATTGAAGTATATGAAGATTGTAGTAATTTTTATGAGTCAAAGAACACATTACATCGGGAAATAGAAGCAGATATGAAAAGAATGAATAACAACTGGAAAGAGTTGGAAAGGATTGTCTAGGAAAGGGTTGGATGAAGAATGCTGGTTAGCCGCCTATGCTCCTTCACAAGGAGTAACAGGTGTAAGTAAGTAAGTAAGTAAGTAAGTAAGTAAGTAAGCAGTTTCAGTTAGACTATCATTACAAAGTGAATTAACCATCCAGTACTTCCAAGTTTTCATTAATGATCTAGTTTACATGGATTCATGAATTCAACTATTAAAAAAGTATGTTCTTTTGTTGTTGTCTGAATGTTTAATAAAGTTGCTTTATAGGAATATGTACTGGTTACTATAATATATGAGATTATATTTTAAAGAATTTAAATTAATTTTAATAGTTGAGATCATGAGTTAATTGAAGCTAGACCAACATGAAAAAACTGGAAGGACTAGATGGCCGTTTCGTCATAGTATGAGACTTCTCAAAAGTGCGCATCCATGATTTAAACTTGCAAGATTCAAACTATTGAAATATTTTACTCAAAGGCAGTGAATTAATTACAGATTTCACTTAATTTTTTTCCTTACAAGTAGAATACATTGTTAGAATAAAAATTAAACCGGAACTTTAGTATAGTTAGCGAGTTGGTGGATACGAAGGGTCTATCTAGGGAAGTTGGAAAACCTTGATTTCAAACTAATGGTGCACATAGGCTCCAGGATCCGGAAGGAATAAATGACGTATGAACCTATTGTTGGTGATTGGCTATCATGGGACTGCATCTCCAAACGTTGCTCCACTAGCTTATGGAATAGACCTGTAGGTCAACGATACGGGGATTGGCTCCTTAAGAAAACCACCTGCTTGGGTTCTTTAACACAAATCATCCGATTTGTGTGGCACACATGTATTTGCTGCCTCCTTGTACCGATATTTATGTGTTTAAATAAATAAATAAAAACTTATGTTATTACATAAATGCTTGACATTTGTTGCATTTATTCCTTGAGTTGCTTTATAACATTGTTTGGTTCCTCTTACTGAAATTGGTTAATGTTAAGTGCTCAACGTGACATCCCAAGGTTCTGGGTTTGTACTTCGATGGGGTCTATAAAAGATTTCCATAGGGAGACGAAATAACTATCCAGAGATCAACTAAATGATTGAATTTTGCTTCACTATTTTTAAATGAATTATTATTTTATTGCTATTAGGATATGCTAATTTACTCAATATATTATTGTTCCTTTGTACTATTTAAACTTGGATTAGTTTTAATTTGGTTATTTATTCTCTGAAGAAGTGACTTACACTAAGCCACGAAACGTCAGAAAATCTAATTTTTCTACTCATTGGGATATTACAAGTATATTATTTATTTATAATATATTCAACGGTTTTATTTACGTTTTACTGGGAAGTGGTCGTAAAGAAGATAATGTAACTGTGACTAAACTTATTGTAGTTAGTTGGATCTATTATTTATTAGTGGGATTAGTTACAAAAATAATGTCTGTAAACAAACAATATACAAATGACGTCAATAAGTAGTGAGAAGCCATGACCAGTGAACTTAATCCGTGTCGAGAGTGAAGTAGTAACTCACTGGAGACAATACAAGATGATCGAGTAATGTTTTGAACTCAATGAAATTAAAAATTATCACAGTTGAATCCCGGTCTAGCGGATTAGAAGTTAAGCGTTCGCGAACGTAAGTGAAGATTCTTGACTTGATTGCCACGTGCGGGATCGTGGATGAGCAGTGTTGAAGACTCCCATACTACGATGACACGACCGTCCATTGTTTCCAGGTTTTCAGTGTTTGTCTAACATCGATCAGTTCATAATTTTAATGGAATTCAATATCCCTAGCTTAACAAATGATCAGTTATTTTTTTTATTAGGAGTTTGTACAAGGAAAATTTTTGTTAAGAAGCTTAATTTATTGACTTAAACTTGGTCATATATGAAGGGATTAATTATGAACAGATTTATGGATCGTCTTCAATTATATATAGTTCGATTATAAAAAAATAAATTCTTAAAATGTGAAGTTTCAGTTTGGGGTGTTAGTAGTATTTACTGCCCTTTTAAATGATCTGTTTTAACTTCGAACAATCCTAATGTGGTTACTGGATGTGTGATGTAATTAGTATTTTAAGGCGTTAACTGATATGGTTTTTAATCTCCCGTATTTAAATTCACTCGTGTTGTTCCAAATTTTGCAAGATAATGAAGCTGTGAAGAGAATGTTTGTTAGATCTCCTATATACTGGATCAAACAGATAGAGATCAAATGAAAAGTGAACAGTGCTGATAGGATCACATTATGGGTAGAAAATATGACTTCATTTTCTGATTGACATTTATCTGTATTTCTGAATGAGTTACAGACATACTTTTGATTTGGTTAGTAAACAAAATTTTTCTTTTTTTCATACAAATGGTTAATTTATGGACACACATAGGAATATCAGTATCAGACTTGGTAGATTGTAAACCATAACAATCGTTAAATGAAATATCAGATGTGAAAATTAATTACATAAATTCGTTACCAATAATAATAATAATACCGGTTTACATAAACTGAATTAGAGTGATAATCTTTTGGAAGTTTTTAGTATTTGGGTTAAATCAAAATGTTGATAGACATGAGTAGAAACAGCTGATTCAAAGAAAATTTGCGCCAACACTTAGACTATTACATTAACTGAAGAATTTCAACACACTGAAACATTAAATTATACAGCTACACAAAAACAAAACAGCGGAAAAAATACAGAGAACGTAGAAAACTGACAGCTATTGCTTACAAAGATGGCGAAAATGATAATTCCCGCTTCAATCTGAATGGTCTCTATGTAGACTACCACGATTATGAAATTGAGTTGAGTTTAATTACAGCCTTTTATTATATTATCTTTATTCAAAAGATTACACTGCTTGGAATTTCTTAATTCCTATTGAATATTTCAACGTGTTTATCATACGTTCTGTGGTAATTTCCCAAACAAACTATTAATTGATAACACCAATGAAAGTTTGAAAGATAAATATCCTTTGAACTCTGCAACTGTAATTTCATTATCGAATTAAGCTCTGAGGTAAAGTTACCAATGGTTGATGAGTATAAGTCAGAACTGATTCCTAGACGGTTGAACAAATCTAAATTCTAAATTTACTAGAGCAATATATATGAAATAAAAAAAAAAGGAATGATACATGAGGAGTTTTCATTTGTTATCCGGCAAGACTATAATTTATGAACGAACCAATCAGATTTACGATAACAGGTCTTGGATTTCGGCGCGAAATTCTTTCACCCACTTGGCTAAATAGTCTTTACATTATAGCTGATGTCAGTGCGTGATGTATTAAATCTAATTTCTAACCATTAATTGTAAATCATAATCCTCCTTTAGCCATAGTAAGTAGGTAGACACTCTCGAGGTCACTTTAGTGTCACTCAAAGATCGTCCATAAATTATAGTCTTACCTGTTATCCTAATGTGGAACTCTTCAAATGAAAAATAATAAAAAAACTTGCCTGGAACAAATAAAAATGTGAATTATTGAACATTTGAAGAATCAGTCAATGACAAAATTTGGATCTTTATATCATAAAATTTCTTTTTCTGTCTTAAGACATCTTTATTGATATGTACTGTTGAAGGGTCCTAAGCCGGATTGTAATGGTTTTTTCTCATATACTGATTTAGAATTATTCATTGACTCATAAAGCGACTTGAAGTTGAAGGATTGAATAACATGTGCATTGTTTGCAGTTATTCTTCATATCATTACGATTAGACAAATCTATTACTCTTAGACTCTGAGGTGAGTATATTCGCCTTGAACTTTGCTTGTTTAATGGTAAAACTAGTTATCTAAAACTTAATCGTGTTATCAGTGTTACAGTTCATTCCACCATAGCATAATAAATAATATCATAGTATGGGATTTATATGATTCTATAAGATAATACGGAATGTAGAAGGATGTATCTAGGTTGACTGGGGTAAATCTAAACGTTGAGATATGAGATATGCTATTATCTCTTGATAAATATCAAGTACTTG